AGGGAGTAGAGGTGAGGGAAAATTTCTTGAATTGAATCAGAGAGAAATAAAAACCCGAGAAAAATTTTAAATCTTTACCACACTATCCAAAATAGAGATGATCTTATGTGAATATGTGATTAGCAGAGTAGCTAAAACAGTTAGGCCTAATGTATACAGGCATATAAATTTATGCTCAAAATATGCTGTTTTTTCCCTCCAGAAACTGCCAAAAAAATGCCTCTAATGTTGCATACAGTGCATTGAAAAAGTATTCATACCCCTTAAAATACAACCAAAATGGAAATGTATTTTATTGGGATTTTATGTGATAGACCAACACAAAGTGGCACATAATTGTGAAATGGAAGGAAAAATGATAAATGGTTTTCAAAATTGTTTTACAAATATCTGAAAAGTGTGGCATGCATTTGTATTCAGCCCCTTTACTCTGATACCCCCAACTAAAATCTAGTGGAACCAATTGCCTTCAGAAGTCACCTGATTAATAGAGTCCAGCTGTGTGTAATTTATTCTCAGTATAAATACAGCTGTTCTGTATGTGAAGACCTCAGAACATTAGTGAACAAACAGCATCACAAAGGTCAAGGAACACACCAAACAGGTCAAGGATACAACTGTGGAGAAGTTTAAAGCAGGGTTAGGTTATAAAAGAATATCCCAAGCTTTGAACATCTCACAGAGCACTGTTCAATCCACCATCTGAAAATGGAAAGAGTATGGCACAACTGCAAACCTACCAAGACATGGGCGTCCACCTAAACTGACAGGCCGGGCAAGGAGAGCATTAATCATAGAAGGAGCCAAAAGGCCCATGGTAACTCTGGAGGAGCTGCAGAGATCCACAGCTCAGGTGGGAGAATCTGTCCACAGGACAACTATTAGTCGTACACTCCACAAATCCTGGCCTGTTTGAAAAAGTGGCAAGAAGAAAGCCATTGTTGAAAGAAAGCCATAAGAAGTCCCATTTGAAGTTTGCAAGAAGCCATGTGGAGGACACAACAAAAACATGTGGAAGAAGGTGCTCGGGTCAGATGAGACCAAAATTTAACTGTTTTTTTGCTTTAAAAGCAAAATGCTATAGGTGGTGGAAAACTAACACCGCACATCACCCTAAACACACCATCCCCCCCGTGAAACATGGTGGTGGCAGCATCATGTTGTGAGGATGTTTTTTTCTTCAGCAGGGACAGGGAAGCTGGTCAGAGTTGATGGGAAGATGGATGGAGCCAAATACAGGGCAATCTTCGAAGAAAAACTGTTAGAGTCTGCAAAAAACCTGAGACTGGGGCGGAGGTTCATCTTCCAGCAGGACAACGACCCTAAACTTACAGCCAGAGCTACAAAGGAATGGTTTAGATCAAAGCATATTCATGTGTTAGAACGGCTCAGTCCAAGTCCAGACCTAAACCCAATTGAGAATCTGTGGCAAGACTTGAAAATTGCTGTTCACAGACGCTCTCCATCCACTCTGACAGAGCTTGAGCTATTTTGCAAAGAAGAATGGGCAAAAATGTCACTCTAGATGTGCAACGCTGGTAGAGACATACCCAAAAAGACTTGCAGCTGTAATTGCAGAGAAAGGTGGTTCTACAAAGTATTGACTCACGGGGGCTGAATACTAATGCATGCCACACTTTTCACATATTTATTTGTAAAACGTTTTGAAAATAATTTACCATTTTCCTTCCACTTCACAATTATGTGCCACTTTGTGTTGATCTATCACATAAAATCCCAATAAAATACATATACGTTTTTGGTTGTCACATGACAAAATGTGGAAAATTAAGGGGAATGAATACTTTTTCAAGGCACTGTATGTACGCATATAAGTGTAAATGCATTTTGCTGGTGAGAATATTAATTCTGGCCAATGGAATACATTTTACACGTGTAAGTGTGTAAAAGCAAATTCAAATATAAATGCCTATATGTGCATGGCCACACAGGCTAACATAGAGATATGCTTTTACAGACTTAAAGAAAAACAAAACAAAATGCTGGTCGCCATTACAAGTGGAATTTTTAAGGCCCTGTGTACATGAACCCTAAAGTTGCAACAAAGCCAAACATAAAAAGCTTAAAATTTAAGCCATTTAAAATTCATCCATTTTCATCTGTTGATTCATGCTTTTCACCATTACATTTTGTTAGACTATGTATTTGAGAATGTAGGACTGTATGTAACAGTTTCAGGTCAAGCATTATTAAGTTTTAATATACCCACTTTACAGAGTGCCTGTGGCCCTACGTGCAAAATAGCACTCAATCTGCAATCATGTGCTTTTATGTGGTCACAGGATGCCACATTATTTCTAATATCCTTATAAATTACTGTAACCATTGCATTATCCCCTCCATATCTTGTGCAGCAAATTCTAATGAAACTTTTTCAAATGTGTATTATGAGTAATGACCTGTAGAGGTCAGTATTGCTTTTATTTCCAGAAAAAAAACTATTGGGAAGCATTTCTACTGTACTTTTCACATTTACAAATGCAAAAGTTACAATTAAAGATACTGTTCCTATTTTTTTAAAAGAAATTGTATACATAAATTCACTGCCACTAATGCTAGTATGTTTTAAAAAAAAATTATAAATACTATGTGATAGTCTGTAGTGAGCACCAACATGACAGCCACTACTTTTCCCTTTGTACTTTCCCTGCAATCTTTACTTATAGCAATTCTGATATGATACATACTAGCTCAAAACCAAACTGCAATATCCTTTTCTCCATTAGTTTGTTGGGGACATAACCTTTAATAACTTAATATAGCTCCTCTAGGAAGTCAGACACTAGGCAAAACCAAAATCACGGCCTAATTTAGTGGCTATAGTCCTGCATGTACTTGTGATTAATGAGGGCAATTCCTACCTGAGAAAGCATCGTAACTGTGCCAGCTATTAACAGGATAAAACCAGCAACAGGATGGGAGAGATCTGACTTCCCCAATGAACAGCTGAAGATAAGGATTTCTTAAACATTTCAAGTTGAAGAAATTCAGGTACTTTGGGTTATACTGCTGTCTTTAGAAGATTGGAAACTGGCAAAACAAAGCTGTAAGGACAGTCTAGTATAAGCCCTCCCACTCCCAGCATGCCCTAGTTTTTTGGGGGTTTTTGCTAGTATCCTAGAAGAATAGATACCTTCACCTTCACCAAAGATTTATTAGACTACTACAGATCCTACCCTACAGACCCAAACTATTGCAGACCCTACCCTACAGACCCAGACTACTACAGACCCGACCCTACAGATCCAGATCACTACAGACCCTACCCTACAGACCCAGACTACTACAGACCCGACCCTACAGATCCAGACTACTACAGACCCTACCCTACAGACCCTACCCTACAGATCCAGACTACTACAGACCCACCCTACTACTACAGACCCTACCCTACAGACCAGACTACTACAGACCTGACCCTATAGATCCAGACTACTACAGACCCTACCCTACAGATCCAGACTACTACAGACCCGACCCTACATACCCAGACTACTACAGACCCGACCCTACATACCCAGACTACTACAGACCCGACCCTACAGATCCAGACTACTACAGACCCGACCCTACAGATCCAGACTACTACAGACCCGACCCTACAGATCCAGACTACTACAGACCCGACCCTACAGATCCAGACTACTACAGACCCTACCCTACATACCCAGACTACTACAGACCCTACCCTACAGACCCAGACTACTACAGACCCTACCTGTCAGGGCTCCCGGGTATGACCAGAGGTGCGTGACTGATGCAGGGAAACGCAGACTTCAGATATGTTATAAACAATATAATTTATTAACACTAACAATACAAACATAAACGCAGTGCAATACTAAAACATAACACAGTGCAAACAAACCAAACCAACCACCCACAGATGACAGTACATACAATGCAAGCGTCGTCAGGCAGGCCGGGTCAATATCAATCGGGCAGGTAGGTACAGGGGGAGCAAGCGGAGAATGGTCGGGGTCACAAGCCAGGTTCAGCAGGTAGCGGGCAGCGTGGTACAGAGGGTCAGGCAGAGGAGAATGGTCAGACAAGCCAGGGATCAGGAGCAGGAGAATGGTCAGACAAAGCCAGGGATCAGAGCAGGGTCAGCAAGGAATCAGACAGGAACAGGAACAGGGAGCAGGAACAGGATACAGGGCCCAGGAGAAACACACACCAAGGCAGAGTCTGCAGGTCTGGCCATCCCTTAAATACACCAGTATAATCAGTTCCAGGCGTTTGACTGGCTGCAAGGTTGAGTCTCTGATTGCTGGGAGCACCCGCTGGCCAGCCCTGGTACTGCAGCTCATAAGGCAGGTGAGTCCCACTATTGCTGGCCAGTCCATTCCTGACAGTACCCCCCCCCTCAAGGAGCGGCCTCAGGACGCTCCAAACAGTCCTAGCTGGGCAAAATGTTCCACCGCCTGGGTCTGGTAACTGGCGGGATATCAAAGACTGGCACACCGGGCAGGACTCCGGGCAGCGGCACACCGGGCAGGACTCCGGGCAGCGGCACACCGGGCAGGACTCCGGGCAGCGGCACACCGGGCAGGGGGGCACACCGGGCAGAGGCACATTGGGCTGGACTCCGGGCAGAGGCACATCGGGCTGGACTCCGGGCAGAGGCACATCGGATTACCAGGCGGAGCAGCAGGCACCGGGCCAGCGAGCGGCAGGCACCGGGCCACGAGCGGCAGGCACCGGGCGGAGCGGCAGGCACCGGGCCCCCGGGCGGGGCGACGGGCAGCGGGCCCCCCGGGCGGGGCGACGGGCATCGGGCCCCCAAGCGGAGCGGCGGGCGCCGGGCCCCCAGGAGGGGCGATGGGCATCGGGCCCCCAGGTGGGGCGACAGGCATCGGGCCCCCAGGAGGGGCGACAGGCATCGGGCCCCCAGGAGGGGCGACAGGCATCGGGCCCCCCGGCGGGGCGTCAGGCATCGGGCCCCCCGGTGGGGCGACAGGCATCGGGCCCCCAGGCGGAGCGGCGGCCACTGGGTCAGACATTGGATCGTCTGGCTGGACAGCGGGCATCGGGTCACCAGGCATCAGGTCACTTGGCTCAACAGCGGGCACCACGTCATCTGGCAAGACAGTGGGCACCAAGTCACCAGGCACGACAGTGGGCTCTGAGTCAATTGGCACGACAGCGGGCACCGGGTCATCAGGTACCGGATTGTCTGGCTCGACAGCGGGCATCGGGTCATCTGGCAAGGCAGTGGGCACCGAGTCACCAGGTACGACAGTGGGCTCTGAGTCAATTGGCACCGGATCAGGTACCGGATCATCTGGATCAACAGCGGGCATCGAGTCAACTGGCCTAATAGGATCATCAGGCTGGATCAGTTCATCATGCTGGGTAGAGGCATCAGGCTGAGTGGAGGCATCAGGCTGAGTGGAGGCATCAGGCTGAGTAGAGGCATCAGGCTGAACCACGGGAAGGCAGGTTCTCAGACGGCAGGCTCACCGGTTTGGATACTGGCAGGATGGTATTGGTTGGAAAGAATTTTCGCTTTTTTCTGGTTTTAACTACTGGAGCACTGCAAGTAAACGCAGGTCTGCAAACGAATGGAGCAGCTGGAGACAGAGAAGAGCTGGAGGATGGAACAGGGGAAGGAACAGTTGCTACAGAGGGCTTCTTTACAGGGTTAAAGGCAGGATAGGTGCAGCGAGTGGGAACAGGGTACTGACATGCGATAGATAGCAGGGCAGGAGGAGCTGTTGGGAATGCAGGAATAGAGCTTTGAGGAAATAGATTAGAAGCAGGACTGGGTTTTTGTAGGCTGACTGAGGCTGGGTGCAACAAATCTGTCTATGTCTGCAGTATGGGTTGAACAAAGCTGAGCTTACACAAAGCCTGTCTGACCAAAGACTGCACTGCGTTTATACAATCTCTTAATACCTGTGGTGAACATGCAGCATAATGCTCCAGAAAGTAACCCACATCATCCTCTAATAACCATACCAGGGACTCTACCTGGTCGGCACTAAATGGCGGCAAAAATTCATCCCTGCATTCGGGGGGTACCAGATGAAACCAACTCAGCACAAACCTCAATCAAAGGCTGCACCTCAGAGAATTCTGTGCCCTGATCTACTAGAACATGAGCGAGCCGTATACATTCTAGCAGTTCATCCCGGGGATACTCCTTCAGAGTTTGATAAGCATACTCTCTGTCATCAAACACTAGCAGATATAAATACACAACCTCATCAAGATCCATCCTTCCCATCAACAAACCAAGATGGCTTCCCTGTGCAGCCACTTCTGGTCAGGATTGGCCTTGGTGTAATGTCAGGGTGTGTGTGACCAGAGGTATGTGACTGATGCAGGGAAACGCAGGCTTCAGATAAGTTATAAACAATATAATTTATTAACACTAACAATACAAACATAAACGCAATGCAATACTAAAACATAACACAGTGCAAACGAACCAAACCAAACCACCCACAGATAACAGTACATACAATGCAAGCGTCGTCAGGCAGGCCGGGTCAATATCAATCGGGCAGGTAGGTACAGGGGGAGCAAGCGGAGAATGGTCGGGGTCACAAGCCAGGTTCAGCAGGTAGCGGGCAGCGTGGTACAGAGGGTCAGGCAGAGGAGAATGGTCAGACAAGCCAGGGATCAGAGCAGGGTCAGCAATGAATCAGACAGGAACAGGGAACAGGAACAGGATACAGGGCCCAGGAGAAACACACACCAAGGCAGAGTCTGCAGGTCTGGCCATCCCTTAAATACACCAGTATAATCAGTTCCAGGTGTTTGACTGGCTGCAAGGTTGAGTCTCTGATTGCTGGGAGCACCCGCTGGCCAGCCCTGGTACTGCAGCTCGTAAGGCAGGTGAGTCCCACTATTGCTGGCCAGTCCATTCCTGACACTACCCTACAGACCCAGACTACTACAGACCTGACCCTACAGACCCAGATTACTACAGACCGTAATGTCTGTTGGAACCTTTACCTGAAAACCATTTAGAGGGCATGCTCTCCAGAGAGGAAAAACTTGCTGGGAGTGACCTACTGCCTGGATCCTGCCTCTTTCTCCTGATGTGCCCTTGCTGGACCTTCACTGTGCTAAGTTGAGCTTTTGCCCATGTTTTTACAAAGAGCTTGATCAGTGTGCACAGTTTGATTCCTCCCTGCGATCTGGCCACGACACGGCCTGCAATGAAAAGAGTGAGTCACGCCAGTTTCTTTATCTGGCATTCCATGCACCCTGGCCTGCACAGTTATATGTGCTCTGCACCCTTCTGCTCCTGTGTAATGCAGGCCATAGATGGGGAGAAAAACGGCAGATTTTTCTTTTAAAAAATGAAAAATCGGTCGTTCAAGCGGCCGACGTTACCATCAATGGTAAAAAAAAAATCGGCCGATTTTCATCCCGTCTAGAGCCGGCAAAAAGTGTCCCTGCAGAGAGCTCTGCTATTTCTTTGACAGTTCTCTGACAGTTCCTTGACATTTACAGAGGTTGCAACATTGTATCTATTTGTTTCCATTTAGGATACAGATGTTTTTATTCGGAAACAAATAGATACAATGTTGCAACCTCTGTAAATGTCAAGGAACTGTCAGAGAACTGTCAAAGAAATAGCGGAGCTCTCTGCAGGGACACTTTTTGCCGTACTGGAATTCCTCTAATTTTTCATTCTTCTTCTTCTTCTCCTGCTTCATCATCCTCCTCTTCTTCTTCTTCATCCTCCTCCTCTTCTTCTTCTTCATTCTCCTCTTCTTCTTCATCATCATCCTCCTCTTCTTCTTCGTCATCATCATCCTCTTCTTCTTCCTCTTCATCATCATCATCCTCTTCTTCTACTTCTTCTTCCTCTTCATCATCTTCATCCTCTTCTTCTTCTACTTCTTCCTCTTCATCATCATCATCCTCTTCTTCTTCTTCTTCTTCTTCTTCTTCTTCTTCCTCTTCATCATCTTCATCCTCTTCTTCTTCTTCTACTTCTTCTTCCTCTTCATCATCATCATCATCATCCTCTTCTTCTACCTCTTCTTCCTCTTCATCATCATCCTCTTCTTCTACTTCTTCTTCCTCTTCATCATCATCATCATCCTCTTCTTCTTCTACTTCTTCCTCTTCATCATCTTCATCCTCTTCTTCTTTTTCTTCTTTTTGTCTTCCTCTTGCAGGTCACTGCTCATGCGCAGATTTTTTATCGGTAAAAAATCGGCCGATTTGCCCATTATTGTCGCGAAAATCGGCCGATCGGCAAAATCGGCCGATTTTTTTCCAACTTTACCGAAAAAAAAAACACGGGCAAAATACCGAAAAACGGCCGACCAAATCGCCCACTAATGATCCGAAAATCGGCCGATTTTATTTTCGGCAGAAAAATCGGCCTATTTTCGACCCATCTATGGCCTGCATAAGTCCCTGCCACGATGGCCCTACTGCACATGTGCACACCAATTTCCCTGAGAGCCTGCAAACCTCATCGCCTTCCTGCCCTCCCCTCTGCACCTGCAGCAGTTCTAGGATCCTCTGTATGGTAGTTGGGCTTCTTGCTGCCCCGTGGGAGGGTTTTTGCTCTGTTTGCAGAAAGATATTGTGTAGGGTCATAGAGAGTTTGTATCATATTTATAAGATTTTAAACCCCAAGTCCTGTATTTTGTTCACTAGAGAAGATTTATGGGCAAAATAGAGAATATAATCTCATTGTTCTACTGAGAAGGAAAACATGACTTGTCTTCCACCCATTTCTGTCAATATATTTAAAAATAATCAGCTGGCATTTGGTTCATAAGGGGATAGGAATAGGAGAGGTTGTGACCAAGTTGAATAGGGCAAAAGGAGAGTGCTTCAAAATGGGTGGGGCTACTTGCCAATTCCTGACCTTTACATAAGGTGAGAAGAGAAAGTGTTACATATGGGTTGGCTATGATTGAGGGGTCTGTCAGAATCTCAGAGATTGTCTTCCGTCCCCCAAGGACACAAAGCTCTTCACCCTGATCTTCTTAGCATTTAATAGGGGTTTAAAGTCTGGTCCAGAGCAGCAGGATGAAAAGGCAGGGTTCCCCTTGATGGGGGAATACATGGAGTTCTGTTGTATCCTTGTCAATAGGCTTTCATCTCATGTAAGAACTTGGAGGATAACTGTCAGGACTTGTCATCACCTGCTCGTGGCACGGTGGTTCCCAGAGTCAAAAGGCGCAGTTCCGGTGCTCACCAGCAGGGGTTTCCCAGCAGCTGGGCTGTCTGAGTAATTAGTGCTGATTCACACATGTGCAGTGCAGATTGAAGCTCAGGTTTCACAGCTAATTGATACAGTAGTTGTTCAATGGTTCATGTCAGGTTCAGGAAAGGATTTTAACCTGCTCACAACTGATCACATATGCGGTTTAGAAATGGTTCTCATAGAAGTTGATAGCCTGTAATCCGCACCTGAACTGCACTGCACAGAAATCATACAGGACTCTTTTTCAATCCACACTGAATCTGCACTGCCAGTGCACTACAAATGTGTGAACAGGCACCATAGGAGGCAATGTTATTATGCATGTCATGCGGTTCAAGCCACATCCAATCCGCATAAATGTGAATCAGCACTTAGGCTGCACCTGACATGGGCTGCTGGAAGGTATCACATATGCAGTTTAGAAATGGTTCCCATAGAAGTTGATAGCCTGTAATCCACACCTGAACCGGACCATACTACTCAGAAATTGTACAGGACTCTTTTTCAATCCACAAAGCCAGTGCGCCGGATATATGTGAACAGGCACCATAGAAAACAATGTTATTTTGCATGTCATGCGGTTCAAACCACATCCAATCCGCATATATGTGAACCAGCAGGCTGCACCTGACATGGGCTGCTGGGAGGTATATAATCCCACTCATAACTGAGGTTCAGTGCTTCAGTATTCCTCCTGCAAGCTATGTCCCTGCCTGAGCCTGATCCTTGTTTCTGTACCTGACCCTGAGACCTGTTCCTGTGACCTTCTCCCTGTACCCTGCTCTCCCAGTACCTTGCCCCCTGCTCCTCTTGTTTCCTGTCTTAGTCCTGACCTTGCCCTGCTTGCGTGTGCTTCCTCCATTTGTGTATAGTTAAGTTATTGTTTGGTTTGCTGCACTTTCACGTTTATTATGTCACTTTACATTGTTCTGGAATATTGGTGTTGGTATTGTAAGTGATATTTATGTTATTAAACTTCATTTAATCTTACTCAGCCTGCTTCCTGATTTCCTAAGGTACAGCCCAGTGATCCGGTCATCCTTGCTGGATGCCTGAGGTATCCCTGACAGTTACTCCTGTTGTGGGACAGCACCTCACCTTAAGACTGAGTGAGTTCAAGACTAAATAGGCCTTGTAGTGATTGATCCAGGTACTCCTACTCCAGTTAAAACCGCAAAGTTTGTAGACAAATGTTCACACTGTTTTTAGTGCAATCTTATTTTATTCAGTTTTGTAAGAAATAAATAACATACATGTAAGACAATGTCATAGTTGCCAACATTTCAGAAAAATTTTTAGGGACACTTTTTTTTCCCTGTATGTCCAGAAAGATAGCGCAGGCGGAGCAGTATGTTAATTAGGGGTGTGGCATTCATTTATGGGTGTGGCATAACATGAAAGAGGATGGTGCCGCACCAAAAA